AAACAGGACATCTTGCAAGTGCCGAACTACATTTGTAAGTCACATTGACAACAGCTCGTCAGTTGTCAACCAGTTCACAAGACGTTAAATCTCGTCAATGGTGAACCAGGTCACAAAGAAGCACACCTCGTCAGTGGTGAACCAGGTCACAAAAAAGCACACCACGTCAGTGATGAACCAGGTCACAGGACAGCACACCACGTCAGTGGTGAATCAGGTCATAGGAAAGCACACCACGTCAGCGATGAACCAGGTCACAGGAAAGCTCACCACGTCAGTGATGAACCAGGTCACAGGAAAGCACACCACGTCAGTGGTGAACCAGGTCACATGAAAGCTCACCGTGTCAGTGATGAACCAGGTCACAGGAAAGCTCACCACGTCAGTGATGCACCAGGTCACAGGGAAGCACACCACGTCAGTGATGAACCAGGTCACAGGAAAGCACACCACGTTAGTGGTGAACCGGGTCACAGGAAAGCTCACCACGTCATTGATGAACCAGGTCACGGGAAAGCTCACCACGTCAGTGGTGAACCAGGTCACAGGAAAGCACACCACGTCAATGGTGAACCAGGTCACAGGAAAGCACACCAGATCAGGGGTGAACCAGGTCACATGATAGCACACAAAGTCAGTAGTGAACCAGGTCACATGACAGCACACCAAGTCAGTGGTGAACCAGGTCACATGACAGCACACCACGTCAGTGGTGAACCAGGTCACATGACAGCACACCAAGTCAGTGGTGAACCAAGTCACATGACAGCACACCCAGTCAGTGGTGAACCAGGTCACATGACATCACACGTCAGTGGTGAACCAGGTCACATGACAGCACACCACGTCATTGGTGAACCAAGTCATGTGCAGAAATGACAGGTCATAGTAATTAGTGACGGTTGAATTTGAGAGTCCTCTAAATCAAACAAGAACATGTGTACAACTCAACAACCTATGCTTAGGTCGGGCGGGTGCAGCTTAACTGCCAATAAATATCAATCATTACCATGTTAGCCGAAAATAAAAGTTGAAAATATATCTATATAAATACAGGATGTTTTAAATTCATAAATAAGCTGGCAGTCAATATATGGATATGATCTCTTGCATCAAGTTGATGGGCGGTATGGGATGAAGG